CTCAGTAACAATAACATGTCCTTGTCCATCAAGACAAGAGAGCACATATATATATATTGTATGGATAAAAGAAGGATTACATACATATATAAATAAATAAATACACATATATATATATTGTATGGATAAAAGAAGGATTACATACATATATAAATAAATAAATATATTAAGACACAATGGCAAGTTTTATTCTTCTACTATCGTTTTTACTTAATTCACAAAATTTCGGCCAGAATTTCAAAAACCGTCTTCAAATGTTGCTCTATACGGTTGTAGTAAATTATGACCGAAAACTTGAAAATTAAGTGAGCCACAGTATGGTAGAAGAAGCCTCTCTCTTGTCTTGATGGACAAGGACATGTTATTGTTACTGAGAAGAAGCTTACATATATATATATATTGTATGGATAAAAGAAGGATTACATACATATATAAATAAATATAAATAAATACACATATATATATATTGTATGGATAAAAGAAGGATTACATACATATATAAATAAATAAATACTGTATGTAATCCTTCTTTTATCCATACAATATATATATATGTGTATTTATTTATGTATGTAATCCTTTTTTGAGCTTGCAATATATATGAGTGTAATTCTGTTTTTAAACCTATAATATACATGTATATACATACATGTAATCCTTCATTTGAGTTTACATCGAGCCCCCAGTAGCGCAGCGGTATGTCTTCGGAGTTACAACGTTAGCAACCGGGTTTCGATACCCGTGGTGGGCAGAGCACAGATAGCCCATTGTGCAGCTTTGTGCAAAATTAAACAAATAAAGAAACAAGCTCACATCGATATCAAGTGTGTATACAGAGTTGAGTACGTTATATTAAAACAATTTTGAATATGCAAGTCAGTAAGGCACGTGACAACCACAGCCGATACAAAGTTGCGGTAGAACAACATGTATCAGAACTACATTTTGACATCGTTTTGCATTTCGTAGGTAGTGTGATGCCGCCGTAAAGTTATAACCTTTGAGAAAGTTATGTAATAATCCTCATCAACGTAAGATATTCATACTTTCAGATCATGAAGATGTATTCAGGTGGAGCATTTAGAATTTCTAAGACATGATATCCCCTGTACGTTGGGGAGGGTCGAGGAATATGAAACTAGTACCATCGGGAAAAAAATCTGCAACAAGTCATAGCTCAGTCATGGTAAATAAAGTTCGGCGTCTTGGAACAGGTGAGAATATACGAACACAAAGGGTAGTGGCAAAACCGTCCATTGTGCCACGTGTACACAAGTTGCTTCTACGTCATATCCGCTCAATCGTCACATACCTCAAGGGGTTGGAGAATGAAACAGATATTCATGCTATTCCATAGGAAGAAATAGCGGTTAAATCGCCGAACTCAGCGCCCATATATTTCTGTGCTCCACATAGAAAAGATGGTGTATGGAAAGCCAGCAAGGAGGGGAAGTGTGCTTCGGACATGACAGCGTTACGACGGAGCCGTTTACAATGGAAACTGCGCTGTAGAGATATTGTCAAGAAGTATGGCCATCAGATATAACATGACTGGACGTGGAGATATGAACTGTAATGACGTTGTAAGGTTCCAAAATTCTTTAAATATAACGTATTATAACCTCTGTATAATAACCTCTGTATTATAACCTCTGTATAATATGAACAATGCTCTATTTCCTCATGTACTTTTCTTCAAATATTTTTGGCTTGGCACGTTTAAGTACCTCGTTTCTATAATGTACAGTGCGCAGCTGAAGATAATGCTAAAATTTTACTACGTCAAACCATGGGTTTTAGAAGTCTTCTAGCACTTGTATTTGCACACCTTTTCTCGTGATCTCGAAACGCCATCTTGAATACTGTGTCTTATCCTAAAATACCAGATTTCAGGCAACAGTTTTAATTATCAATCTCTCATTTCTGGGAATCTGAATACCAGATTTCAGGCAACAGTTTTAATTATCAATCTCTCATTTTTGGGAATCTGAATACCAGATTTCAGGCAACAGTTTTAATTATCAATCTCTCATTTCTGGGAATCTGAAAACCAGATTGCCTACTCACATGTTCATAATAATAAAGTGGAAAATTCGAGGTCCACCAGATTGTTTCACGTGTTTATTTTTTGTTCGAATGATTTTTAAAATATTATGTATAAAAGTAACTTTAATTTGTATCTATATTTTAGTTTGCTTTGTCGTTTTTTTTATGTTTTGTTTTTCTTGATGGCTTGATTGTTAGGGCGTTCGACTCGCAATCTGCGGGCCACGGTTTGAATCCCCGTCACCAAATATACACGTCCTCTAAGCCGTGGGAGCGTTATTATGTGACGGTCAATCCCACTTTCATAACAAACAAATTCAACACTTTGGTAATAAACGTTTAAACGATCCTAAGCCTAACTGTAGTTAAGCTAGGGCCATACTCTAGTAATGAGTTTCCATTACACGTCAAAAGCTACTTGTACATTGCGATTTTCCTATTATCATAACATCGTTATAACATTGTTTTATTCAGCCATAGTTTCAGCTAAAGTGATTCTAGGTTTCTAAAGTTTATCAGAATCTGAAAGTTCAAATCCCATTTAATCAAACTTATAGAATATCATGAAATGTGTGAAGCAAAATATCGATGTAATTCACAAATTGGATTCTGAAAATTTTTTTTGTTGTTCTTATTTTTATCTATGGATCATCACGTTAACATTATTTAAAAAAAATCAGCAAAAAAATTCCCCAAACTATACTTCTTTCATCTGAGACTAAACAGTATGCTTCCTGTATTCAATTAATTGTGTTAAGCCTAAATCAATATTACGTTTTGGATATATATATTTATATGTTTTATAACTTCTTTGATCTGAGACTGAACAGTATGCTTCCTGTGTTCAATTAATTGTGTTAATCCTAAATCAATATTACGTTTTGGATATATATATTTATATGTTTTATAACTTCTTTGATCTGAGACTGAACAGTATGCTTCCTGTGTTCAATTAATTGTGTTAAGCCTAAATCAATATTACGTTTTGGATATATATATTTATATGTTTTATAACTTCTTTGATCTGAGACTAAACAGTATGCTTCCTGTGTTCAATTAATTGTGTTAAGCTTAAATCAATATTACGTTTTGGATATATATATTTATATGTTTTATAACTTCTTTGATCTGAGACTGAACAGTATGCTTCCATGTGTTCAATTAATTGTGTTAAGCCTAAATCAATATTACGTTTTGGATATATATATTTATATGTTCTATATTCATGTCACCAGTACAATGTAGGTTTTGGTTTTGTTTGTTTGTTGTTAAGCGCAAAGCTACACAATGGGCTATCTTTGTCCTGCCAACCACAGATATCGAAGCCCGATTTTTAGCGTTGTAAGCCTGTAGAGTTACCGCTTAAACACTGGGGAGATTACATTGTAGGTGCTAAGGGAGGGATTACATTGTAGGTGCTAAGGGAGATTACATTGTAAGTGCTAAGGGAGATTACATTGTAGGTGCTAAGGGAGGGATTACATTGTAGATGCGAAGAAAACATTTAAAAGAACAAATAGATGTTACCGAACATGAGGAAAGACTGATACATGAACGTTACGTAAGAGACGTTACACATGTTGTTTTTTTTCCTCACACGTTTGAGAAATTTAAATGGTATTCTTAACCACTTATGAAAAAAAATAAAAGATGGTTGTGTCTGGTAAGTACAGTTCTTAAGTTTAAAATAAAACCACTCTTCTTATCGCATCACGTCAAAGAACACTCACGACCGAGACATAGCCTCTCTTCTCTTTCATAAACATCGTTAATTTTCAATGGTCATTGAAGAACCATAAGGAAGCCGCTTCCAAATGAAAGATATATTTTAGAGATGTAAAGGGGAAAGTCACTTGGCTTCACGTACCGGAGATGATATCCCACACACAAAGGTCAAGATCTCTCTTGACCTTTGTGTGTGGGATATCATCTCCGGTACGTGAAGCCAAGTGACTTTCCCATTCTCATGGTTTGAGTGGCGGAAATGACGTCACAGGTAGTTTATGCACGGTGTATTAGACGTAGATATTCATCCAAGTGCTGCTTCCTTGCACAGATTAAAACAAAACAGACCACGTAATATGTTAGTCTTGGTTGTTAAACACAAAGCTACACAATGAGCACTAAGAGCCGATTCGTTTTTAACGTAATCTGTTAGTCTTGGTTGTTAAACACAGAGCTACACAATCAGCACTAAGACCCGATTTGTTTTTAACGTAATCCGTTAGTCTTGGTCGTTAAACACAAAGTCACACAATGAGCTATCTGTGCCGTGCCAACCACGGGTATCGAAACCTAGATTTTAGTGGTGCGAGTCCTCAGACTTACCGCTGAGCCACTAGGGGGCGTTCTAGTAAGAGGCAACAAACACTTCGTTCAAAGAATCATACTTCATCTTATGAAAAGTAGTGAGTATGAATACTCACTGCTTTTAGGCTCTTGGAATTGTTACAAAGTTTGACACGAAACGTTCGATATCTCGAGCTTAAGGTGCAAATTATGAAGTTTTCTTAAGAAGTAGTCGGTTAGCAACCGGAAGATGTTACACGTAAGAATCCCCAAGATAGTTATTTGACACGTCATTCTACTGAGAAGTCGCTGTAGAGATATCTATATTTTATTCAGGGCCTAACGAGTATAGATATGTCGTAATTCTACTTTCATATAAAAATAATATCTTTAAAACTCTAACTCAAAAAATTTAGAAATTTTTGACAGATTAGAAAATAGGAAATATTGCATTTGAAAGGAGTGCCATCTAGTGGGCTTATTTTCATCTAGTGGTTAGCGTCGGTTGAAGTGACAGTTATGTTAGATTAAAGCTAACAAACTTATATATATATATATATAAAACGGAAATACTTCTTTATTCCAAGACTTTCTAGAATGTTCGAAAGAAGAACTTGTATTTGATTCTCGACCGATAATTTGAAAGAATGTCAACGTCATAGTCATATTATTAGGCTGTTGTTCCATACAAACCGTTTTGCGTGCTTTAGAAAAACCGTCGAACAGCTTACACAACGTATACAATCGCCGAGAAAAACTGATCGGTAGGCACGTTGTCGATTATTTATGGAATGTGGTAACGAGGTTCTTTTTTTTTTATTATTTTTCTGTTTGACTAAGATGTATTTTTCTCCACGAGCACGAACTAGAACACGACAATCAAGACTTAAGAAACATATTGAACTTTGGAAAGAGATTTGTTTTACCAAAGTTATGCCTCTGAAATTGAGTTTTAGGCTAACACATACACGATGTTTTTTGAGTTGTCTCTTACTCACCACAGTAAACCGATATTTACATGCAGGATTTGAAGACACCCAGTTTTGTTTTTTCGATTTATCCTTGTCTAGGATTACTGATGAGGGATGGGATTATTCGAAACTGGTACATTTACGTGAAGAAGGATGAATCAAATGATAAATTGGGCATCACGTTTAGTTTCAGCTTTAAGCTATATTTCAAGTATGAGCAGCGAACCTACATATATACTGTAAATATTGATTATATCGGACAATTTGGAGAAACTCTTGGCATCAGTGGTATTTGCTGCTGAGTTATATCAAGAAAGAATACGACAGCTTTAATACTTCCATTAGTTTGTGAAGAATTCAAATCCTTAATTATATTAATAATGATAATAATATATGCTAAGAACGGTAGAAAAATTGGTGACATGTTTGTTTGAATGATGAGAAAGAAATTAAATATCAATCTAGCAATGAATATAGAGTTATAATGCATTGTTTCGTCAGCTGAGTACTCTCGCTGTTAACGATATTATCGGCCGTAAACCCAATAATATCCACGACTTTTAGACTCCTTTAAGTTGGGCCAAATAGTCACAAAAAGGACAAATGAAACTGGATCACAGCAATAAAAAAAAAACAGTAAGTGAACAACAAGTCAGTGTCTGTATTTAATGAAACAACCAATTAGTGTCCTTATTTTAAAAAATCAACCTAGCAACGTCCTTATCTAAATAACCAATCAGTGTTTTTATTTCAATAAATAACATTTAGGCCCTTATTTAAACAAATAATTTATCAGTGTGCATTAAATAACCAATGAGTGCTCTTACCTGAATAAACAGCTAGTTAGAGTCCATGATAAACAAATAACCGCTTATTGATAACGAGTATCTTACTGTGGGATTTTATGCAATTGTCGTTGTGAACTATTTTTATGATACATAATCTGACTGTTTAATTTATTCTTTTTTTTTTTTTAGGAACAACTTCTTCTGAGTGTAATCCCGGCATACATTGCAGCGGAAGTGAAGCGAAAGATAATGCTTAAAATGGCGGACGCCTGTCAAACTCCAACCACACAAGCTAAACAAAGATTTCACGAGCTTTACGTTCAAAGACATAATAACGTCAGGTATATTGTTTGTTTGTATATTTATGAAGTTATGCACAAAGCTACACAATGGGCTATCTGTGCTCTGCTCACCACGGGTATCGAAACTCGGTTTCTAGCGTTGTAAATCCGCAGACATACCTCTATGTCACTGGGGAGCATCAGTTATATTGATAGATGAAGAAAATTTTTATTGTTAGTTGGAGGGTTTTCTCTCTCTTATTTTAAGTAAAATTTAAAACATAGATCATTCCACGCCTACTTTTTACTTGTCTCAGTCTATAGACCAAAATATTTGTTAATGGGCATAAACACTACGCAATGTGGATACAAATTGGTCCTTCAAAAGTTTGTGCGTAAACTTTTTGTCTTAAACCTTTTAGTTGTGGTTTAGGCCTGGTTTATATATATTTTTTCAAATTTATGCAAAATTATATTCATATCAATGTTTATTAGCCGCGGATGAGCGGCTCGTAGCATGGCTCTGAGTTGTTGTTTTTTACAAGCACAAACTGTTAGCTGGGTGGACAAAAAATTCAGAAGTGGAGACGGCTCGAGAACAAATATCCAAATTCTCACACTAGGGGAATTTGAGGTTGTTTTCAAATATTTCATTATATAAGAACTTAAAACTTATATGATATTAAATTTTGATTTATTATCTATGATTTGATGTCAAGTTGTTCGTATACCATGAAAATTAAGTAGTTTAATTAAATTTTGAATGTAACTCACTAAAACGTCGTGATATACGCAGTTTGACCTGCTCGCATGCTAAGGGTTAATCACGCACGCACCCACCTAACGTGCAATCAGTCACGTAGGCACATTCATGTTCCCTTCCAGAGCGTGAGAGTCATCAGTTTCCAATATTTCATGCTGTTGCCGATTTTAACGGTGAGATTCGCTTATCGACTGAAGTATGAACTCAAAACTACCACATCAAACATTTATAATACTGTGAAAAGCGAAGCTGAGATACCAGAGGAGGCATTTGGTAAAAACTTCGAAGATGGGACATATGGTAACAGATATTATTCTCAATATATGATATGCTATAAACTGGTGGGACCAAGGAGGCGCTAGATGTATGTAAAGTGTAATTTTGGAATTTTCCTGTTGTTGTTATTTTTAAACGGATTTATATTAACAGAGATGTTCTCGTTTGTTTGTTTGTTTTTCAATGTGCCTTCTTTCTGTTTATTTTATTAAATTCTTTATATAAGATGATTTCATTCAGCCATGTCTTGTGTGCCTTCTTTCTCTTTATTTTATTAAATTCTCTATATAAGATGATTTTATTCAGCCATGTCTTGTGTACCTTCTTTCTCTTTATTTTATTAAGTTCTCTATATAAGATTATTTTATTCAGCCATGTGTTGTTTCGTTGTAGCTACAGCAGATGGTTGTTTGTATTAATTGTTTTAGTTTATTTTGATTTTATGCCATTTTAATTTGTTTTGTATTATATGTATATTTTAACCTTCTTATTAATTTTCTTCCAAACAAATTAAGCCTAATAGCGTCACCTAATTAAAACAATTACAAGAAGATTAAGCCTAATTATGTTATACAATTATTGGTAATAAACACAAATTAGGCCTAATGATGCATCATCATTGTCATCGTTACACAACAATTAAGCCTAATCACTTCACACGATACTACAAATCGACAGTGCTTAAGTTACTAACTGATCATGAATTTGCTCTACATCAGAATTATATGACTAAAATTTCAGAAATTGTGTTTTTCTGTGTTTCTAGCATTCTTTATGCAGATATCGTCAACTTCACTCCAATGTCTGAACAGCTATCGGCATCAGATTTAGTGCAAACTCTCAACCAACTTTTTGGACGTTTTGATCAGATTGCACAAGTAAGTTCGTTTATTTTGCTTTCATTTTTCAACTATCATCATACTATCGATTTATTAATACAACTAAGATTAAGGCTTAACTTATTATAATTAAATGACATATTCGTAACTTACTTAAGATCTCTATCATCGTCGTCTTTTACTGAATAAAACAGAGACACATAGATTTTAAAATATACCAGTCATTCCACGAGTCTAAATTTCATAGATCTGAAACAACTTAAATTATTCTTTAGCAATGTTGTTCTTTCGAGTTATTAATCTCTTGCTATGAGCCACAAAAACATTTTATAGGTGTTGGTTGCGTCTGTAGGCTTAAATAATACCGTTTCCTTACTGCAACAATGCTATTTTAACAATTTAATAGAGTTTAGATTGTTATGGCTGAAGGGGTTAAAAACCCTATAAATATGTATCACACATATCAAACAGTTTAGAGCCTGTACGGTTCAAGAATATTACTCAAAAGAGTTATTGCGTATCACTCCAATGGGATCCAAGAACAGAGGGCGCCACTAGCTGACTTTTCTCAGTAGCACTTTCTGATAAATGTGTATCTCCCATAACAGTTGGCAGTAATAATTTCACAACTGTAAGATAATTTACATGATCGTTTTTATTATATTCACTTTCAAAATCTGTTTTCACGATTTATGTGGCTCACTTAACAAATAAAATATTTCAACAATAAACGTATAAACAATTAACTTTCCAACTGGCAAACAATGGTTTTCATGAGGTTTCTTTACTTGTAAGATACTACAAACGACAAAGAAAACTGAACTTGTCTTAAATCATGATTTATTGAATATTTCTGTACGTTATATTTTGCTTCTTCGGTTATTAGCAGTTAAAATATTTGTGATTTCAGTATACCACAAAGTAGTATTTTTTTATATTTAACTGGAGGTATTTTTAATGTATTTTTAACCCCGAATTTGCAACTTACCGTAGTGATAAATGTTATCATCAGATCCGGTAGTATTGTTTAGACTGGACCTAAAGAGTCCAAAGCCAGATCAAGAAATGTAACCGATTCTGATACAACTTCCAAAGTGCTTGTCCAAGTTGATTAATTTTGACGAGGGTAGACTGCTATTTTCGGTGTGAACTTGGCCAGATATTTCAGTGTAAGCAATAACGAGAAGTATTTGAATAAGAGCAGTAACAGATAAAGTCCAGAAGACGATCTTAGCAAACAGAATGAATGATGGATGAGCTTCAAAATGAGTTTCATTAACATCTGAATCACGATCTTCAAGAACCCAAACAACAATAGCCTTTGGAAGAAGCAGAAGATCCTTTCTTATTTTACACTTTTAGTTTTTCTTTTATTACTTTTTAAACCTCTTCTTGCCCATTTTTCCTTGATATTTTTTTTCTTTGAATAGATGTACTATCGTCGTTAAATCCTTGTTGATTACATTCGTTCTACTTTCCAACTTTACAATTGCAAGTATTTAGAAGAAGGGAAGGATCGTCTTCTGGTGTTTCCATGGGGTTCTAAGGTCGTTTTCTACGTTTTAAGAATGAAATACAACATAGAAAAAAAAAAAGAAATCGACATTTGTCCAGAAGATGGAAAATATTCGTCAAATGATGGGCAGAAAATATTGAATTATTCCCCATTGAAAAACTACACAGAAAAATTTGTCATTCACAGTGGAAGCCCTAATCCACAACTCTCGTTTTAGCGCATCTTTTTTGTTTGGTCAAATATAACATTTCCAGATTTATCATCAATATAGGCCTATTTAAGTCGCGAATTGGGCGCGTGTTGATCATGTGGTAGAGCTCTGGATTTCGGAGCTGTCTTGCGGATATCGAATACGTGCGATATCATAAAATAATCCTCGTACTATAAGCTGTGGGTGCATTAAAAGAGTGACAGTCAATCCTTTAGTGTGGATTGTGGATGGTAATATGCTGCTTATTGGCTTCCTTACCTCTACTCAGTAGTTGAAAATAAATGACGGCGGCAGATAGGCTTAGTAGCTTTGCCATAGATACAAACTACAAACAAAAGTCGCGACTTTAGGGTTAAGAACTCTGAAAATTAATGCGTTGCTTACCACGCCGAATATCATTGGCATCCTTTTTTAAACATATTTTGTTTACTATAAATGAATTGGATTGAATTTCGCTCAGAGCTTCACGAGGGCTTATCTACGTTAGCCGTCCTCAGTCTAGCAGTGATAGATCAGAGAGAAAGGCACCACCCACGACCAACTTTTGGGCTGCTTTTTTACCAACAAATAATGGGATTGGCCGTCACATTATAACGTCCCCACGGCTTATAGGGCGAGCATGTTCGGAGTAACGGCGATTCGAACGCCCTAACCACCAGGCCATGCCAAACCAGGAATATAGGAATACAACTCTAAGGAATTCTACGGAGGCTTACTTGTTCTTTTAAATTTATTGGATAATGCAACTGTGTGACGTAGTAATCATACCACGCAATCGGACAAACTCTAATTACTAAGCTAAAAACATAAATTGGTCTTCTGAGAGTCTCATGTCGAGTTTCAAATGTATCAACATTCGCGAGTGCTTTGAACGAAGTGGGACTAGGCTTGCATACAACGCTTCTCGTTAAAGTGAAGGGTTTTATTATGTTATTATCTATTTATTCCCTAACGGTTGTAACAGCAAACTTCGGTACACGTAGATTGCAATGCTAGAAGATAGAATGATGAGAAATGAACGTTACTGGTGTAGACTTAACGTACACGTAGATTGCAATGCTAGGAGGTAAATCTGCATGAAAACGAATATTACTCTTGTAGACGTAACGAAGATACAGCTACATTGTAGTATTTTATAAAGATACATCCACACGAGAGATGACCATAAGAAACATTTGGTAGAAATACATCCTCGTGAGAAGTGGGAATTATTCACTAACTTCTATATTAAAGGTAATCTTAGTTAATTAATAAAACTGTGTTTATAAAATTGGTTGAGTTTGTTATTTACACACAGTACTGTTCTGTAAACGGTAAACTGACACTACTCGAGCGAAATGTGAATTTTCAAGGTCAAATAGTTACAGAATCCTATACGTTAATAACTGGTTCATGTGTCAGAAACCTAAACTAAAATGAGAACACGACAGTAACAATAAAAGCATGTTTCGTAAAAGCACACATTCACTGAACAGTTGTCTAGAGGATAGAGGAAATGTTTATAAAACTATCAATTATATAAAACAAAAAAAACACATGTGCAAACAAACACATACAAGAAATTAGAATGAATTTAATGTTTCCCGGTAGAACAGCGTTAAGTCTATGGACACGTTATGGGATATGTTACAGCAGGTGATTAGCTAAGCAACACGTGATAGGATATGTTACAGAAGGTGATTAGCTAAGCAACACGTGATAAGATATGTTACAGCAGGTGATTAGCTAAGCAACACGTGATAGGATATGTTACAGAAGGTGATTAGCTAAGCAACACGTGATAGGATATGTTACAGCAGGTGATTAGCTAAGCAGCACGTGATAGGATATGTTACAGCAGGTGATTAGCTAAGGAACACGTGATAGGATATGTTACAGCAGATGATTAGCTAAGTAACACGTGATAGGATATGTTACAGCAGGTGATTAGCTAAGCAACACGTGATAGGATATGTTACAGCAGGTGATTAGCTATGTACCACGTGATTGGTTAAGTAGCACGTACTTAGTTAAGTAACACGTGATTGGATATCTAACATGTGAATAGTAAAACAACACGTAATTAGCTAAGCAACAGTGTCTTGATGTAAGCGTGCTCTACAAGTGTAAGAAACCTAACTATGAAGACTCACATGCTATATCTTAAAAGAAAACTTGAGAAGAATGAGATAAAAAAGAAAAATATATGAAATGTTTTTGTTGTTTTCCTTTAGCGAAAAAGTTACACAATGGACTTTAGCGTTATAAGTCCGTAAACTTACCGCTGACCCACTAGAGGACATCCGAAGTTTTCTCCTCCATTTTTTTATGAGTCTATAATTTTGCCTGATTTTAAAATTTGCCAATTTTCTTTAATCTACTGTATATGAAAATAAGAATAGAAATTGATTTTCTAATATTGATAAAAATACACAAGGCACACTTAAAGTGTTGTTGCACTTTCTTTAATACAGTATATAAAAAACTTTATGGATAAACCTTGTGAATATATACATTTAGTTACTATGGTAAATGGAACCGAATCAACAAGCATCCACACTTTGTCGTCAATAGTAACCGATGAAGCGTTCACACTTCGTCGTCAGTAGTAACCGATGAAGCGTCCACACTTCGTCGTCAGTAGTAACCGATGAAGCGTCCACACTTCGTCGTCAATAGTAACCGATGAAGCGTCCACACTTCGTCGTCAATAGTAACTGATGCCTGTTCTTTTTTCTTCTGTATTTGCTGTCAGCTTGCATCAATATTCGGCCTGATTTAAAGTGAAATTAATTTTGTTTTGTACTTGACCAGTACTTATTCTTATTGGGTTAATTTCTACTACCCAGGATTGAATACAAGCACAACAACAAGTAAATAAATAAAATAACAGGCAACTTTATACTAGACTTTTCTAACTGAACTGGTTTGTTTTTAAGGATCAAATAATCATATTTTCTATCTTTGTTCTGTTATTACAACATTATTTTTGCATGTTTTCGATTCTCTGTTCGTCTTCTAATGTAGCTATATCAGGGTTTTTTGCGCAAGAATCCTCGGTTTCACGGCTCGGGCACGCTTGGGCCACGCACAGCTCCCCAACGATTACTAATAAAATTGAAGCTCCTATAAAAATGAAAGTTTGGTGATAAACGTTGAGTTATTTTACCAGAACATCAATCAAACAACCCTAATAATTTAGTGTTGTCGTTATCATTCTAATTATTTGTGATTGTTTTTTCTTTTTTCAAAAGTTGTACAATATATATACACATTTCACATCTGACGTATCAAATAAATCCCACGGTGTTAAAACAAACATATTATATTTTCCATATAGG